CGCCTCATTTGCATGCGGCGGGGGGCAGAAGGTGCTCCCAGCGGCCCCCGCGGCGGCCCCGCCCGCTTCCCGCCCTCCCGTCACGTGAGGCGCCGATAAGCGGCGTCGTGAGGCGAGGGGGAGGCGGCGGCGCGGCCGCCCTTCACCCCGCCTCGCTCCCCGCTCCTTCCTTCCCGTCACGGCTCCTGCAGCGCGGCGGCCCGGCCTAGATACCTCTTCTCCTCCCCGCCCGTATCGGGTTGCGTGTCTCGCATGCTCCGAATAGCTCGCAGGGCTGCACCAGGCACAGCGGGCAGCGTTGATGTTTAAAGGCAGAAATGCCCCTGTCTTTGCGAGATGTGGGGACAGCTCTCCACAATAAGTTTTAAATTTATTATTACTTGATTCCTGCTCAAATGCGTGCAAGGGTACAGGCTATGCATCCATTTTAGATAGGGGACATCAAGACATTAAGGTGACAAACAAAAGATGGGTCTTTCACACAGTACGTACCACATGAAACAAGCACGGGCCGTTACCACAACCCCACATAAAAATGTGGTAGGTAAATAAAGGGAAGGAGGGCGAGTTGGTGCCCAAGCATCACCTTGGACAACTTCAACACACTACTGCCTTTGGAGTCACCCTTGGGAAGGCCAATTCCCCCACAGGTTGGTTTTCGGTGCGGTGCAAAAGGGCTCTGCAAGTTCCTAYGGGGGCTCTAAACAAGGAGTGTTACTTCACATCGAGCCCAGGCACACGCGCAGAGCGGCTGCCATCGCGTTATATAATCAAATGGGTATGTAAATAACAAAACAATAGGCAGGGGCAGAGCAGAGGCTGGCCTGAAACCTGACTTCAGTGAAAGCAAGGGCTGGGTGGCACATTCCCTGCACCCACCCACGGGGAACATGCATATCGAAGAGATGTCATTACAAAAGGAAGGACAAATACAGCTATTGAAATGCTGGCATCTCAGCAGAGGAAACACTCGTTGCCTTTACACGTGTAGAGGCTCATATTAAAACATTCAACCCCAAACCAAAATTGTCTCCARAAGTGAATCTCTTTGCTATTCAGAACACAGGGTAGGCAAACACAGGCACCTTGGAGAGGGCCTGGGACCCGCTCTGGGGATCAGAGGCTGCAGCTACTCGTGGCACTGGCTGGAAACAAGAGTGTCTTGGCTGCAGGTGGCCAGGACGCGTGGGGTGACGCTGCCACYGCCGCACCCCTGTGGTATTTCTATCAGGAAAGGGAAGCGCAGACATGCCTATCACTCATTCTTTACTTTTCCTTCTTCCTCCTTGTTCACATCGCTTCTAGGTTAAGCCCAACCTGACTCAAAACCTTCTTCCTTGATGCAGCAAAATTCAACATTGTCTGTAGTGCTGGGGTGCCCCACAGCAGCTCTGGGTACCAACACAACGTTGGTACCCCAACTGTTGGTACCCCAACTGTAAGCCAACTGTTTGGCTATGAGTTGCTTTTCAGTCTATAATCCCCTTTCTCACTTGAGGAACAAAACATGAGCCCTTCTTGCCCCTCACAGGTGTCTTGGAGGATGGGACGCTCTTCATATCTCTTTACTAGTCAGCCATGGCTCACAGATTGAGAAATTCAGGGCAAGGACGAGGCTGTCAAACCCACTTGGCAGAGCAYGACTGCTCCGGGAGGGTTTCTGGGCCAGGGCACACTATCAGTTCACCATGAGCAGTTCATAATCCCTCCATGCCAGTTCACCCACTCAGGTTTGCCTAGACATCTGAGGAAGAAGTAATTTATGTGATCATTAACCTTTGCTGAACTCCTCCTCTCCTGCACGATGACCCCTTTTACTCAGACCAAGAACTACTCATGTTTTTCATTCAGAAAAATCACTGAGCTCCTGTGGGGGGGGGGGGAAAGAAAAAAAGAGCATTTTTAAGTGAAATAGCATTTGTTTCTCACTGTATAGTATCACTACTGATAGAACTCCTTGTAAATCCCTCCCAGTATGAGAGAAATGTGCCCTGCTGTCTCAGTATTATTCTTGTACCCGGACTGGCTATATCTTGCCAAGTGAGATTTGTTTTAAATTCTCAAACGCACTAAATTTGGCACAAAATCTGGRGCAAAGGGCATCCCCCTGGTTACTGCTGCCGTATTGAATCTTCCCAACTCAAAGTCCAAGATCCACTTCCATCAGTTCATTTAAGGTGCAAAACCAGATGAACTCTCCCCACTATGCTCGCTGGGACACACGGACAGATGCAGAGGGGAGCAAAGCACGAGCGCTGCACGGTGGGACCACCCGGTGAAGGCACAAGCAGCTTTTCAGCTCCTATCAAGACTGATACGCTCGGAGCTGACGTCAATYCTCCTTTCCCACTACCTTTGCCATAGCATTTGAGTACAATAAATATTACCTGTAATGCCATCTGCTGTACGGAGCCAGTCCGGAGTTTCCAAGCTTCTCATAATTTATTTAAGGGCTGATGTTGTGCTAGACCAGAATGCAGTTTATTTCAGCCTTATTTGTCTTTGTTTTGGCTCCAACTAAAACTGCCTGTCCGCTTGAGTTTTTAAAGTCATCCATCAGGGAGCAAAAGGACTGTTTTGTTTGACAAGACGAAGAAGCTAAAGACTTCTAAACACTTTTCAAAGATGCTAAAGCAGTAAGAACAATCTTACTGAATTACTAAAATAAGCTTGGATGAGAGAAACTGAAATGTAAATTGTGCTTTTTGCTTAAATGTGTTTTAGAAATGCCAACGGGTTGCAAATGCCACACTATTATATTTAAATGCACATCAAAATCTTCCTGCTTAAAATAATTATAGAATAAATCCTTTAAGAGGTTTCTAATAGACAGCAATGTAGAGTCTTAAATTGCTTGAATTTTCATWTTTTGGAACATCCTATATGAGGACCAGTGCCCTTTTAATTATTAACTTATGATGATAGGCTAAAGAAAAATCTCTGGGATGGGGAACATGTCTTATTTTCTTATTTATCAATGTCCTGACCTTGTCCTATGCACTATGGAGTTTGCTCTTTGGAACCTGCTTGTCAAGCTGTTTTTTTTTTTTTTTTTTTGGTTGGTGGTGGGATTTTTCAGATGTTTTCTCCTATACTTGTTTTTTGCTTACAAAAAAATACAAAACTATAAATTAAGCACCTTACTCCCTCCAAGCCCACAGATTAACTTCTAAGTCTAAAATTTTTTAGGACTTACAGGTAGGAAAAAATATCTTCACTCTTAGTGACTATCCACACGTGGTAAGTGGGAACTGATTAATCAAGGAAGTTGAAGGAACTATAAACCCCCAGGTCAGCATCAGCCAAGGAGATGCTTGATCTCAAACACGACAGTGGAGGAGAGAGCAGCCTCGTGGTGGAAAAGCCCCTTCGCAGAGGACTGCTCTCTCAGCTCGGACAAAAGCACCGCAGCAATTAGAAAAATGCAGAAATCTATTTTTTTTCTAATTGCAAATGGGTATGAACGGTTCAGTCACCTAACAATGATATAAGAAAAGAGTTTTATTCTGCTTGCAGCTGACAGGGAACCAACTTTCCTTTACAGGAGGTGCTAACTCTGCTAGCTGGGAACAGGTCCTCAATTGATGTCTGTGACCTGAGTCCATCTCTGTACTCAGCAGCACCAAATACCACTTGTTTTTCTGGGAGACCCCGTAGCCTCCTTCCATACACAGTCCGTGCACAGTCTCCACTGTGGCTGCAGCCGGTCTGGACACAGCCTTAAAGAGGAGTAAAAGGTACTTCCAAGTGGCAGGGACAGAAATCCAGGGTTGCACTTGTTTTAGCTGCAGGGTTGCAGAACGGTGGCTGGGGCACCCTGAGGCCAGCGGATCACACTGGATCTCTCCTTCCTTCACCATGTCCYTGGCACACCGATGACTTCCCAAGGRGGAAGATGACTCCAGGCTTTGGCCAGGCAACACGGAGCMGTTTCCAAACCACCCTAAGTAACCAGCAGCTGCTACCAGCTGCAGTGTGCTACAATCAGGGTGACCTTGGTGCCCCATGTGCGGCAGACAACAGCCCGTCCCCAGAAATGAGCACTTCTGTCAACACTCGGCTCTTGTGCAGCACCAGCGGAGCTGCAGAAACCTGAGCAGGATGAAGAGCTTCATTAACTCACCTTGTCTCCTTCTGAGATACGGTCTGCTCAGGCACTACGCACTCAGAAACGACAGCAGCAGGGGCAAAGATGCTGTACGTGCTGCGGAATCATTAGGGATTTCAATACAAGAACCTGGAAGGTGCTAAATTTGCATGCAGCGTGAGTTACCCTGCTCAGACGTTGTGGCTGGCACTGCGAGCACTCAGAGGCGTCAAAGGCAAAACAGACCGTGCCCTCTTGTGGCCACGAAGCTTTCGGCGGCTGCTCTTAGAGGTGACAGGAATGGCCCTGAAGGAAGAATAAGACACCTGGGTGTTGATGTCGCTCTGATGTACGAGCAAACACTGCAAAGCCAAAACCGAGAGGCCAGCTGCCTCCCAGTCACACCCAAACCCCGGATGTTAAAATTTGTGACATAACTCCACCGAACCTCGGCCGTTCACTCTGTAGCTCAACTTGCCCAACTATGAAATTGCTATAGAAACGCTTAAATATCCAGCAGTGGCATAAMTATATAAACCACGGGGGTTTGTAGCTCACAGTGAGGGGCTCCCCTCTTTTTTATTGCTTTTGCTGTTGTTTTTGCCTACTTTTCCCCCAGCGCCCAGGCWGCCCGGCCTCCCCTCACAGCCACCACCATGGCGGCCGGGCAGCCTCCGTCCCGCCATGCCCCGCGGCGGCCCCTCGCTCTCCCCCACCTCCCGCGGGCCCCTCTCCCATGAGGCCCCGGGGCAGGGGCGGCCTTTCCCGCCTCTCCCGTCATGCCCCGCGCGCCCCTGGTAACGGCGCGGGGACGGTTGCGTTGCTAGGGGCGGCCATGATGGCGGCGCTGAGGCCTGAGTCCCTCCTCATCCTCCTCCTGCCGCTGTTGCCGCCGCCCGCCAGCGCGGAGCCCGCGTCCCCGCCGGAGCCGCCCGCTGCCGCCCGAGTGCCGCACAGACCGGCCCCATTGACAGACGGTGGGTGCCGGGGCTGGGCCTGCATCCTAAACCCTCGAGGTGCTGATAGCACCTGGTCACTGTCCCACCGTCCCCATCTCCGGTTAGCGAGTAGCTCTTGTTTCCCAGCCCGGTCACCCCTCGCCAGGTCTGGTTTGGCACGTGGCCTCCTTAGGAAAGGGGCTCCCTGTGCTCCCGCCTCACAATCCCACGCTCCCCATTTAAACTTGCCGTGTTTAGGAGGGCAGCAGAAAACTCTGAACAGAACAGTCGGAACTTCAGAAATTCCAGGAAATACCTGGATACAGTTTGGGTGGACAGAGGCCATTCAGCGTCTGTGGAGAGTTGTGCAGCAGTCGAACTGCAAGGAAAGAGCTGCAGTTACCAGATTAAATACTCATTCGTGTCCAGCCTATGGAGTGCTGATCTTGTGTGTTTGCTACAAAAGCAGCTTTAAAGAAATAGCTCTGGTTATGTTGGAACATCAGGGAATGCATTAATGCATCTTGGAGCATATTTGATGCTTATAAACTGCATTGCTGTACCAAAACTCTCCTCTGTCCCCCAGCCCCAGCTGAAACAAACAGTATTGCTACASGATTTGTGTCTTTATCAGCAGCAATGAACAACAATTTAAAACTTTCAATATTYCCCTCAACCGGCTACCTTTTGGATTTCACAGGGAACACAGGCTCACATTTATAGTGTGCCTTGGAAGAGACAACTTTCAGAAACAACTTGTTTAAAAAAAAAAAATCAGTTTGGATGTAGACTTTTGACCACGGTCAGAATAAGGCAAGGTGAGAAATGGAAGTGCTCAGGTACCTGATTGTAACTGGGGTTTCAATCTCTCCCGCAGTTGCCAAGCTGTGTGTCTGCGATCTGTTGGTGGCGCAGTGTGATGTGAACTGCTGCTGTGACCCCGACTGCAGTGCCGCCGAGTTCAGTCTCTTTACCACATGTTCAGTTCCTATTGTCACGTAAGTGAATAAAGAGCTTCCTGAAATACAAAATCTGCTCCTTTTTGCTGCATGCATTTAGGAGGGCTCTATCTTCCCCTCTTGAAAATTCCTAACCCCTCCATGCTGACTATACTCTTTCCTACGCTTGTCTCATGCATTAAGCAGGGAGTCCTTTGCCCTCTGCAGGGAGAAGGGCAAATTAGCATCCCGTTTCCCATTCCCTCTTTTCCAAACCTTGTTTTTCCCTCTTCCATGGTCCAACTGTATGTGGACACTTAACTGGTGATGTTTTTCCCTCTTCCACGGTCCAACTGTATGTGGACACTTAACTGATTCTCCCTTCTGTGGGGAGAATAATGTATCTTTAGACCTTTATTGGTATAACACAGTGTCTGGAGGCTAAGAAAGTACCATGGGACGATTTGACCACCTCTGTGGAACCTCAGCAATTTCTCAGTAACCTTTCACTGGTGTTTATTATATCAGAGAGAAACATGATCAATCCAAGCCTGTAGTGAAATACTGRGAGTCACTCTGATCTTAGTTTTATGAGCAAGCGTCCAGCTTGTTCCCTCACTGCCGTTGTCRCTTAATAGAGAGCAAAATGTAACTTAATTATCAAAAAAACATGCTGAAAGTTGTTTCTTTGCTATTTACAGTCTACCTGAAAATACTTTTACCCACATTTCATCTTCTCAAGTAGAAGTTAAAGCTCATTTCAGAACCTTATTGTAAAAATCTCTTGGTGACCTCTCAGAACAATAGAACTCATCAATCTTCCCTCTGCATAAATTATGCCAATCATAAAGCTGTGCTTTATTCTCTGTGCTTTGAAATTAGAATTAGCAGTGATCCTTGAGTGCCATTTCTTATTGTTCTTGCACACAATGACTACTGCCACCCATTTACAGCTATTTATATAGATCAGAAAGGTCTAATCAGCACCTTCCTGAATGACAATTTAATTGTCTCAGGTGACTGTTCTGTCACTGACAACTAGACATGCATAAGTCATCTGAATCCACCCAGCTTGTCATCTTATTACTGTCAGGTTCTTCTCTTCACCACTGGTTATCTCCTATCTCTAYACACTGTTTCCTCTGTGAGATAAAGTAAAAGACATCTTGGAGATTTTTTTTATTACTTGTTATAAAATGATACCAGTCTTAGAAGGCTACAGAACTGCTATATTTATTATCTGGAAAAAAGAGTTACCCCATTAGTGCTTTTCGGGTGCTATCTCATTACAAGAGGATAATTTTTAAATGATTTAATACTAACTTCTAGTGGATTGTTGATTTTACTGTTGTTATTCACAGAGGTGACAGCCGTCTTTGCAGTCAGAAAGCTGCTATATATTCACTTAATGTCGAAGCAAATCCACCAGAAAGGATATTTAAATTAATTGACCACATCAATCCCAGTATTTTCTGCATTCATACTGCAAACTGTAAGTAGAGWTTTTAATCAATGCTAAGCATTTCCGTAGTATTTTTTGTAAGTTTTTTAGGTACCAGAAAGACAGACCAAAATTAAAAGCAACTTAACCTGATTATTCTACATRCTCACAGGCTGTATGTTGTAATCCATTCACTTGTGACATTATGGAGTTGAAACATCTCAGATATTCTTCTTAGTGTTCTCTGGGGAAAGAATGTCGTTGGCTCTAACTAGCTTAATTGCAAATTTTAATAAAGTTTTCCTTTGCATTAGAAACTATGGAGTTTAAAGAAATGACATTTTTCTCAGAAAAAGGGTAAAAAAATCTTTTTTGGTAAAGAATTTTGTAGAAGTGAAGAAATGATTGGTGCTCTCTACTCCAAAATTAATTTTGAATATGCAGTATTTATCTGAATGCTTAACATGGAAATTTTACTAGTTGACTTATCTTTGTTTTGGATCATATGATACTATTAGAAACCACCATTTTTAAAAGGGACTTACCTCTATCCTTAGGGTTAAGTATATGCTTTCATGAATTAGGGTGAAATCGCAAATTATTGCATAAATTATGATACCTCCTAGCTTTTCTTCTAAATATTCATCCTTTCTCATTTTCTGGTTATTGATTTTTATTTTTTTTAAACTCCCACCTCTCCCTCCAAAATATTTCTAAATACTGTTTCTGTATTTTGTATCCTAAGTGTTATCTCATTCCTTACACTGTTTTGACAGATAAACAAGCCCTCTCCTTCATTTCTCCTGAAACGCCAACTTCTGAAAATTTTGATCAATTGCTTAAACAGTTTGGAAGTGCCACTTTCAGTACTGAGTTTGAAAGCTGGAGTATAAACCCAGATTCACAAATTTCTTCTGATGCAAATGGAACGTACAGATACAAGGTAAATAATGGTCCTTTCCAATCAGTATTATATCAGTCCATATCAGACCAAGCAAGTATTTTTCTTTCGCATCTGCTGTAAAGAAGCTGTATTATCTCAGACAAACAAACTTTATTTTGGTCTTGAAATATAGAAATATCGGAGTAAAATGCAGTGGTTTGTGTGGGCCTACTTCAAAAGTGAACTGCATTAAGATTTGTGAAAAACAAGTAGCTGTTTTATTTCTGTAAATGTGAAGAGAGCTGTTAGATACGGCTTAAGAATTGACGAGCAGAGAGGTACACAAAATCGAGGGATGCAGTGTAAATRAAGGTGTCTGTTGTCCAGATTTGGTGTTAATGCAAATGCTCTAAAGCTTTCCATGAACTGAACTGTTCTACGTGCTTGAATATGTCCTCTTATTTGGCAGTATGGCGTTCCTATACAGACAGTGGATGCATTTGTGAGACTGCCTAGTCCTGTTGTCTCTTCCTGGTGTTCCGATGCTAATCCTGCAGGTTGGAAAATTTAAATTCTAATTTATTTAGAGGATTCTCCTGTTATTCTTGAGTCAGTAAAATAGTGTGCACACCAACTGAATTCAGCTAAAGGTTTTTGAACAAATGTTTTTCCAATAGCTTGTGTTTCTGTGGGTCTTTTTAGATATACACTGCAAGTTGTGTGCATCTAGATCAAAAATGCAGTTTTAAATATAAATTCTAAAAAGTATTGTTATTGGGCTATTTATTCTACTGAAACTATTTGCCATAACTGTTCTAATAAAAATAATAGGAGGGTGCCAGTATGAGGAAATAGATTATTACAAAGTAAAACCTATTTGGGCAGCCTTTGTAAGATGTCCCTTAGCCACAGCGAGGTTCCTTTCATAGCCTTACTGCAACTCAAGCCAGAGAGTCTAATCTGGGTCTGCATTTGGACTTTTCCTGCACTTCCATTAAAATGTGCAAAGAAAAAAAACCTGCATCTTTCCAAATCTTCTATTATTAAATATGGTAGCATAAAGATCATGATGATGACCATAGGAAAACTGAAATCTCTTGTAAGAGAAAGGCTTACCAGACTTATAATGTCAAATCTTCTTGTAGCTTTTCTTAAGCTTGTATTTTTAGGTAGTAATGTTTTGTCTCGTTGCATTTTTGAAGAAACTAAGGTGATGTCATGCTGTACACAACCCTTATCTGCAAAAGAAGTTACAGTTACTTTCAGTTTTGCATTTGAGGTCCTTAAGTTGTTTTYGTTTCTGTTTTTATTAATTGCTATTTCATTTCCTTCAGTAATGCTTATTTTTTTCCTCCAGGTTTTTTAGTAAACCAGGCTACAAAATGCAGTAGATTAGTAAGTGTGGAAACATGTAGCACCATTCAAGCAGTTAGTATGTTGTTCTACATTAACTCCAGTATTTTAGCAGTAAGTATGATTTGAAACCATCATATAGCTAACAGTTGGTATTGTTGATACATATATATGCACATATACACACACACACACACACACACACGCATTACATCTGCAAAATGAAGTAGCTTTTATTTCCTAAGGAAAGCAGTGTTTGATTTGGATTTTAAGTTCTGGATTTGGGGAAAAAATCTTCCTATGCAAAAAGATATCTATAAAGAAGGACTTTAAAAGTGTTTTTACTTCCAGCTTAGATAAGAATTTATTGCTGTCTGCTTAGCCAGCAGAAATCAGGGTCTTGAGGACACCAGCTCGTGTCACTGAGCTAATTGACTTAGTGCAGCAGCAGTTCTGTGCATGTGCATGTTTAAGCTCTTCCAAAAAGCCTATTACCATCATGTGTAAGCCTAGGCTGTCCGGGTTCCGAGGAGTTGAAACCTTTGTACCTAAGAAGCTGTCAGGTTAAATCCTGTGCATGCAAGCCTTAACTGCACACCTAGATTTTTAAGGGTGAGATATTTCACCCCAGGTCCTTCCTTCCTTCCTTACTCTCCTTCCCAGTGATAGACCATTTTGTCCTAGCAAGGACAAGCTCGTTAGCCTATTACCAGATCTACTTTTGGCTGATTTTCAAAGCTAAACTTATCTTTACATTTCTGAACTGGAAGATGCTTTCTGTATAAAAAAGTCTATTTTAAGGATGCGCAGGAAGCCAAATAAATAACCCATGCAGAATTACAACTGAGGTACATATTACCTTAACCTTGATGACCCCCTCCAGAAGGATAGGCATCAACAAGAAAGAGTATCCTCTTCTCCTTTAAAATGCTTTTAATTTATGTATTTATTAGAATTCAGTTAATTAGCACACCATAACAAGTGGCTGCTTAAAGGACCCTTGCAGTCTTGTGGTTCACCTAACAAATCCTAAAGCCCTTAGTGGTAGCACATACTTCCCTAAGTAGCTCACACTCTCACAGGTGGCATCATTCTCCTGGTCTTTAAGGACATAATTGAAAGCAGCCCAGGCTTCTGAGTTTTAGCTTTTCATTATTCTGCAGTGGAAGGTGGAAGAATTTCTGTATCAGAAATGCTTTGAGTGTTTCTACATATGCATAAGTGTTAGAGTCCTTGGAGCCTGTAGAACTACAGGAAAATTAAAAAACATTCCCCAGGATACACTTCAAGTGGCTGGATGGTTTTAAGTTCAGAAGCGTATTCTTTTTACTTGCTAGAACTCCACATAAGAATTTGTGCATGAAGTTTTTGCCAGTTACTCTGTCCCAGCTGAGGAGAAGGAAGGTTCCTGTTCCAAGTGCAGCAGAAGTTCAGGAGGGGTTGGGTGTCAAGAACTGGAGAATGACAAAGAGCCACCCGCGCTGGTCTGTAGGCAGCTCTGCTTCCCACAGGGACTGAAAACATGACGTGACTATAAAAGTGAATTTGGGGCTACTACCTTTGGGGATGGGCACAGGGGAGAGCAGGGAGCCCCTGTAGTGCCAGCAGGTGGAGCTGCCAGCAAAAGAAATGGCAAAATTCATGGGCCTTCTCAAGGAGAGGACAGGTACAGCAATTCCTTCAGAAAATCCTGTTATCATCAGCACATAGTGACTGCCAGCTTGAGCAGCCTGCATGATATAAAGATACTGATGATTGTAACACATGTGCAAGCTACCGTGGCCTGTGCAGCAGAGTCGAGAGGTATTGAGGGTTGTGTGGTACCCTCCACCACGCACAACACTGGGACTCTTCACGTGAGGTGGTCAGCGAGCGCTGTGCAGGTGACAGGGCACAGTGGTGCTGCTGGACTCCACTCAGTGGGAGRCAGCAGTGAGCCTGGGATCGTGCTGCTATTGACGTGGCTTCCCAGTGACCTGCAGGGCCCAAACGCACACYCTGGGCACAGGTAACAGAGCTGTGAGCAGTCCCAGGCTGAAACAGCATGTGCTCCTCAAGGACAAGGTCTGTGTAAGCACCTCTAGCCACACAGCTGGGTCTGATTGCTGAGCTGTTCCTCAAGCTGTTAGGTCAGATGTTGATATAAATATGGGGCAGTGTGTGCCAGGCTTCATCTGCATCTTTGCTATTTTTTCCCCCAAAATTCAAAAAATAATATTTTTTTTTTTTTTTTTTACTTTAGGTACCTAAGTCAAGTCAGATGGTGAGTATCCATCTGTCTTACTTGGAACAACTGATGGTAAAAGGCTTGCTCTTTTATAAGCAGTGAGAGTATTTTACTGACTTTATCACCACTGGGACTTTGTCCTTGCTCTTTAATGAAAACATTAAAACATCAAACAGAGCACTCACATGTGTTAGAAGCCAAGTGCCACATTTCCTATCAGTAATGATACTTAGCAGCTCTAAGATAATACACTACCTTCTGATGCATCACCTCCAGGTATAACTCTCTTTTAGCTAATTTTTGTCACTTGAAAACAGTCCCTCATGTTGAATTTCAGCAACACACGTAATAATGCAGCTGTTAAAGGATTGTTGCCTCCTGCTTCTGTGGAAGAAAACCCTGAAGTAGCTCTTCTCTGTGTGTCTTCTTCAAGGAATARAGGAGGTGCTGGTAGTACCTGGCTAGTACAGGTGTATCCAGGAAACAAACATGCTTACTTAAAAGAGAAACACACAAAAAACAGTTTTAAAGTTATAAAATACTTTATAAAGTAGAATACAAGCTATATAAAATACAACAACTAGGCTTCTTTCATAGAYAGAAAAGTACTTGTCCATCCTTTAAAATTCACAAACATAATACTACACAAAAGGGCAAAAATGTTTATACACAATAATCAGAAATGGCATGAATTTGTTTTTCAGGTTAATATTACTGTCCAGGCCATAGTTGTTCAGTCTGTGAATGGAATACGGACCTTACTTGACAGTAATGAGGTCCTGAGGCTCCCTGCAGTTCTGGATGAGCTGTGCATAAACATAGTTCTTGGGGTAGGTACAACCATTCCTTTTGCTCCCCACGGTGGATGGAATGTACATATACATCAAACCATTTCTGATTCACAACTTACAGAGACTCAAGAAAAACTTTGCCCAGTTTCCATACACAGTGACATTGCTAAAGTAAATGCAACAGGAGAAATTGCCTTTGGGATGAAAGAGAACGTTTTGCAACAAATATATGTCATATACGTAAGGAGGAGATGAAATCAATTTCTGTTACTAATATGTGTATCTGACCTCACAGACAATAAGATGAGCCTAGAATCCAAGTTGTTAGGCTTGGGAGATGATGATCTGAGGCACAAGGGTGGGAGGGACAGAGGAAGACACCATGCAGATCACGTCATCTTTTCATCTTGGATAGCTGAATATTAGGGAGGAATATTAGAAAAGGTTTCCGAGAAGTCAATTTTAGAGACTCTAATCCCAGGTCCATTTCTGACCATTGCTGATCAGCTGTTTGATTGGTAACAGTCATGTCCTTTGTCTGACCTCTTTGCAGATGTCATGTTTTTGTCTGTCAGGTTAGACCACCCCTTCCTTCTTGTTCTTGAAGCTCTCCTCCTTGGCAGCCAGGAAATGAGTGACAAAGTAGAATAAATAAGCGGTTCCTCCAAACCATGCTCTGTAACCTTTAGGAGAAAGCTAGGTCAATGGATGGAGGAAAAGCCTGTCTAAATAGTCCCTATGTATCAGTAATTATAAAAGTGAGAGCCACAAACTTGTGTTTTTAATTGCCAAGACTTGTACAAGGAGTAGTCACCAATACATCAGTACTGGAGCAGCACTCCAGTTTCCTCCTATTCTCTGGCTTCATCTTGTCATACTGCAAATGAGCACATAGGACATGCACAGCGTAGCAGAGTGGGTTTTAAGCAAGAAGCATCTTGTATACCTTTTAATTCCTTTACGCTACTTTCATACTTGCGTGTATTTGTTTTAATATACAAAATGGTTTGTTTTCAGGTGAGTTACCATATTACATACACAGAAGCGGGAGAAATAACAGGAGCAGCTGCTTCTTTTGTCTTGGGGGCAATTACCAAAGAAACGCTTTCAATACAGCAGAGCTTCGAAATCAGCTTTACTCAGGTAACTGCTTGAGATGTTACGGACAACTTGCTGAAAGACATTTAATTACAGAAATTACTAAACTTGAATCAGAACAATTATAGCAGCAAGGTAAAGGGTAATTTGCGCTGGGTACATAAATGAGGCAGCATTTCATGACTGCGCACTAAGGGCCTCCGAAGTCTGTTTTTCACATTTAGAAGAGGCAGTTTGTGACGATGCACAATGTACACAGTGAAGGCAAAGCCTGATAGCAATGTTGAGAGAACTGTTACAATCTTACAGAGATGTTTTATATTATCTTTGTTCAAGGCCCTTATACCTGAATTATTTTATGTTTTGCAATCATTTCAGTGCAGGATGAAATCTAAGATGTAAACTTGTGTTACAGGTAAATACAAAGCCAGCTCCTCTCAGCGGCAACCCTGGTTATGTGGTTGGACTGCCTGTAAGAGCAGGCTTCAGGCCGCATGGATATCCTTGACCTGTTGAAATTTGGTTTGCAGCAGAGGCAAAGCACCTTTTAAGCACAAAGCAAGTCCTTTGAAGAGAGACCTTCCTCATAGCGAAAAGTAGACCAAGGGATCTTGCACTGTTCTGGCACACCTTCCAGTGTGCCAATCCCTTTCTAGCATGCCATCTATAGCATTTATCTGTTCTTTAGGCAAAGGGTGGTTTTTGGCTGTTTTGCAGAAATAGCAAATGACTCAGTCCTTGCTGCAATCTCATGGGACCTTTTAGAGGAGGTAGGTTTAGACCTTCATAGTACATTCCACTGCTGCTCTACTTTGTAAGAGAGGAATCTTGAGCTATTACAATATTTTTTCAGATCTATTTTAGCTACATGACTAAGGATTCTTTCTTTATAATATATTATCAAGCATTGAAGTTGTCCTTAACTGTATATTACATCTGGCATCATTCAAAATACTGACAAATATGGTCAATTTACCATTCTGCAAAGTACCTCCAACCAAGACTGCCTGGCAGCAGCGGGAGCCAGAACCCCTGTATTATTTGGTTATAACATGATATCAGGCTGTAAGTTAAGGTAAGAGGAAATCTCTTCTTTCTTGATTAATACTTTTAACACAATGACAACTCTTTCTCTTAGAATCTGCTCAGATTCTGGGACATTCATACAGCTGTAACAACATCAGGAGCTGAGTATTTAATTACAAGAACCACCTTTAATTAACAGTGCTCTTTCTCTTGGAAAGATTGTGTACATTAGTGATTGTTAGCCAGAAGGCTTGAACAGTGCATGAGAGCAAGGAGAAATTATTATTGTGCCAAAAATGCACTTTGTTTTATTTTTTYCTCTTTTTCCTGGAAGAATCACTGCAGCTATGGACTGCCAACTCCTGGCTCAGACGCTCCTAGATCTACTGAAGGGACAAAACTTTCCTGAATACGTGGCCTCATTTGGTAATTCTCGAGCCCAGGATGTGCTTGACTGGGTGCCGATAACTCATCTGCACGTCTCTGACCAGGTGAAGTTCGCCCTGCTCCTGCCCCTGTTGCCCCTCCCAAGGTCCTCTCTTGCCCAAGATCTGTACCTGTACTCATCCCCTCTTCTCAGGCCCATTGGGAAAAAGGAAAATGCAGAAATAAACTGGGGAAAAGTCCTCCTGGAATATCCAAAACAAGGAGGAACACTTGACATAAGGAGAGCGTTTACTTTTAATGAGGGTGGTATCCAGACTTCTCAGTTACAGAGCAGAGCAACCCATTAGGCAGGAAGCAACAGCCCCAGCTTAGAGTGTTGCTCTGCAACTGGGATGAAGCACAGCTGGTGAAGCCAAAAGACTGGACTAACAAAACCAGTTTTTGTGCTCGATGCTAAAATRTCATTAGAACTGGAGGCTTCAGAATTCTGTCCTGGTGGAGTTAAGGGTTTCGTACTGCCCTGGCAGCCTTACTGAAACAAGTCATCTCTACGAGAGAAGCCTCCTGCTTGCCCCTGGAAAGAACAGGCTCAGCAATATCACAAAAACCAAAGTCCAACTGAGTTAATATCCAAATGTATCCTGCACTTCAGAGCTAGAATTGTCATGTCTGAAGTGCAGTTACCCAGTCAGTTTGTCACCTTTGAAAGTGCACAGAAAAGTCCTAGTTTTACATRATAATTAATGTGGTTACCTCTGTACAACAATGAAAGAATTTATGATGTTTCTTTCAGAGCTCATGCCAAATACCAGTATCACTTGAAATAGAAGTGCAGTGGACTAAGTATGGCTCCCTAGTCAATCCCCAAGCCAGAATAGTGAATGTTACAGCAACTGTCACTACTACCACATTTAACCAGGTATGTCATTAAATTGCAGGATTTAAGATGAAAGGAAGGGCTTGTTTTATTTAGGGATCAACTGTACGATAGCAGCCCAATTAATCACTTTAGATAAAGGTAAGACTCTGTGTTAGAATGTATTGCATCCAGTTCTTGTTCCAACTCAAATATAACTGGGCTGCTTGCCAAGGTACACTTCTCATAAAAGTTATACATCATTCATAAAATGAAATCTGAAACTGCCAAGAAAAAAAATAAATACAAGCAACAGCTGAATACTTAACCTATTGCAAAAAAAGCAGTGAAAGAGAAGACTGAAACTAATGCTCGGGTGCTTTCATTGCAGCTGCCCTCCGGAAGAGAAAGGACTGTTCCTATAATGAGTTCTGTTGTTTTCACTGACATTTCTTCGCCTGCAGAGCCAGGCTATAAGGCTCGGCCTACCATTAACGTCAAGCTACCCTTTGATTTTTTCTTTCCGTTTGTCTAAGGTAAATGCGCATCAAAAAATCATTATTTCTGTTTTCTCTGATTTTGAGCATGTTTCCTAAAGCAAGAGGGTTTATGTAGTTGGGCAATTGGTTTCTTCTAAGATGTAGACACAGTGMTTCAATACAGGGCAAGGAGAAAGGCTTCAGGTTCTCACAGATTAGGGGTGAGGAACCTCGGTGGGAAGTTCCAAATTATAGCCCTGCCAAAGGCAAAAAGGCTGCGGGATGAGCTGTACATCCCTCTGTCCTGCCTGGGCTGGGAGCTGCCCCTCAGCCCTGTCCACAGGGACCCTGAACTGGCTGCGCAGGAAGGGAAGGGGACGGAACATCGGGCCACTGCCCCACAGGAAACCAGGCTGCRTCATCTCTGCTGTTCACAGAATAACCTGTTAACTAATCACGTGCTATTTGACAAGGCCTCAGCTTTATTTTATTAATAAGACACATATTTCCAGCTATTTTTTCCCCAATCCACTAATTAATTACCTTTCTTCTAAAGATTTAACAGTTACGTGATGCTTACAGAAGAGCTCAATGACCATTCCAGCTGGCTCTGACTGAAAGTGATTGGAGAAGCTTCCTACAGCCGACACASTTTAAGGTTCCCCGTTCAGTGAAACTTACTCTTCAACTAAAAATACGTTCACCACRGAGACCTAGTACCTGAAAAAGTTGGCATTGTGTTCAAACACCAGCCTGCTCCTTTAGAATATGCTGTCAAAGGGTTTTTCTGGAATCTTGACTATTCCCAGCAGTCCACTCACCTACATCTGTTCTTACAAACCCCGGTTCTTTTAATGCGTTGATTTATGAGCTATGAAAGCAATGGAAAATTTGTACTGCAGCAGGCTGCAAATGAGCACTTACATGGAAGACGACAGGAGAGAAAATAGCATCAGAATTCAAATCTGCTGGTGCGGCCCCAGGCAGGGTTTGACGTAAGGCACCTCTCATTTGCCTGTCTTTTGGTGCCAGTTTGTCAGCTAAAGGAGTGGTGTTGATATTTTTGGAAGGGAACGTTTTATAAATAACGAGGTAGCACAAGCAGCAACAGAAATGAGGAAACTACTAACAATGAGAAAAGAATGGTTAGCAAAAAAGAGATGTAGCAACAATGAACAGTCATTGTGGAGAAGAAATGGCCTTTTTGGCCTGGATCCTTATCGTTTGCGCTGCAAGATGCTACAAGATGTTGCTAACACATAACACATGGCAGAAAACTGCAATTCTTTCAAAAAAGTGGTACTTCCTGGATGTATAGCTTACAAAATGCATCTTTATTATTAAATTATTTTGAAGCTTTGTCTATACAACTGTACAGGAAAGGTTTTATGAAATCACTGTTTATAGGGAATGTGTGTTTAATTTTCCAATAAACCTATTTTTGCAATACCAGGATCTAATCAAATGTTTATAGACCACTCTGTGCAAGAGAAAGCAAAGAGATAGGAAAACCTTCCACRTCAAACGGGCGCTTTCCAACACCACCCTCTCCACGGCAGACTTCCCCACCTTCAACAAAGCGGCCTCCTATTTTGGCTCCCCGATGAGTCCGTGCTGTTTTAACAGCCTGTTAAGCCTCTCAATTTCTTGCTCCTGTTGGAGACAGAAGTCATTACTGTAGCTCTTACCTTAAACRTTTTCCCAGCTTCCTACATTCCTTCCTGCCCCTGAAATACACCTGGCGCTGCAGGGAAAGGGACAGCCTGGGTAAAGGGAGCAGAACAGAGGTAGCCCCCCTTCCTTTGCAAGGGAAGCAGCTAAGGGAAGCGCAGACAGGACCAGAATGGCAGCGGTTCTGGAATCCAGCAGATCCCACAACTTTCTGGTGAGGAAACCAAGCCGAGGGCAGCAAGCTTGCAACAGGCTCCCGGCCGGCCTGTCCAAGGGAGTGCTGCAGGATGGGCCTTCCCTGCTTCAGTTCAAGGCGTTTCTTACCTTCTCCGTGCAGCTGTACTCAAGTTGCTCGACCTTGGTCGCAAGCTGCAGGTTGGCTTGTTTTAGCTTGGACACCTGCTGCTCGGAGCGGGTCTTTACAGATAAGATGATCCCTGTGGAGCAAAGGCAGCGGAGGTGAGCGGCGCCCGGCGCTGGGTGGCTGCGTCGCCCGCACGGCCACAGCGTTTTGCAACGTTTGCAAGGTCTGACCATGCAGCGGGGCCACCGCGAGAGACCTCCCTTCTCTACTGAAGCCCTGGTAGGTTATTAACCCAGCCCCATAGCCCAGGCAATTTCTTCCCACCATTTTCTAAGGAGAAAAAAGAGCTGGGTAAGAGGCTGCAGAACAGCATGTTCTTTCCCACCGGCTGCTTGCAGCCCAAAATGCACAAGCGCAGGTGGCACCCGGGCCCCGTTTCCAGCAGCCCCCAGCCYGGCGCTCGGGTTCCCATCCCTACGGCYGCAGCGGCGACGCTGCCGATTTGCATTGGCAGCAKCAAACCTCTCGCAGCCGCCTGCGGCCAACGGCCACAGGGGCAGCCAGCTGCGACGGGGCAGGTTGTGTGTCTCCCCTCCTCACGTTAAACACTGAGGAGCACGAGGAGCAGGCGGAAGATTTCCTTGCAAACACATGACTCTTCCTCCCGCAAAACAGCCCTTTAGGAGACACCAGGTCTGCAGGAGGGTGCCCGAGACCAGCTAGGCTCCGAGCCTCACTCCAAGGTGTCCTGCTCTTGCCTTCCCCCTTCCCGGCACGGCTGCCAACGGGGCACAGACAGCAGCAACAGGGCACAGACCCCATCCCAGCCGCCCCTTCCTCTCTCCCAGCTACCAGGGTCATTTCAGCCAAGTCCAGTGTCAAGCACATGCCAAGAGGACTCGGCCCAAGGTTTTGTGCCAGAACGAGGGACAACCTCATGGCCGTATTTTTGATTTAATCCCAAATTAATTCTCAGGAAGGAAGGAAATGGCTGCAGCTCCAATTATTGCAGAAAAGGCCCAAAATTCGTAGCTCTGAGCACTGATGATGCCGGGGCCATGGGGGCACCTACCATTAATGATCCTGGCCACGCGCCACAGCCGCAGGAGTATCAGGAGCCCGACGGCTTCGAACTCGTGCTCCCGGAAGAGGAGGACTACGTCAAGGATGAAGGACACAACGACGACAACTCCATCCAGCACCTCAAACTTGTGGTGGAAGAACTCCCGGCCATAGAGGAAGAYTTTAAACCCAACTTCAACCAAGAAAATGGTCAAAATGCAAAGGGAGAGGTAGTGAAAGACCTGGGAAAAGAGGGGGCGGGTTTAGAGCTCAGAAATCCCCCTCCTACGCACGGTCACCTCGTGTAGGCTGGACAACAGCCACGAGAGGGGCACAAGATGCTGCTGAAGCGGCTGGCCAGGCCAGAGCCCATGGCCATCCTGGGGAGCAGCCTTTGAGGCACCACTGATTGGGAGCAGCCGTGGGCCCTGCTGCCTCCCCGCGGTTTACCTTGGGCGCAAGCTTGTATCTGTCCGGGTGGATGATCTTCAAGTCCATGAGCAATTCCCCAAGGACCAGCAAGGCGTCTACAATGACCAAGCAGACGACCACAACCTGTTGGAGGAAGAGAGCTGCCCTGAGACCCTCCATGAGGCGGCTGGATGGGCTGGCACCACCTGGCAGGGAAGAGGCACTTGGTCACCCCGCCAGACCCTGCCGCRCTGGGTGGTATCCAGGGTGGTTGGCCAGTTATTCCCACAAACTCTCAGATTCATGGTTGAACCCCTGGCTTTGGCTGGGACCCAGCYGTGCCGCTCCGGGGCCTCACGGGCCACCGGGCGCCAGCCCTGGCGCTGCCTGGGGCCAAGCCTCACCGGTATTTCCGCCTTCCCTATTTTTATCTGCCCTCACCTGGAACCGGTGGGAGCTGAAGAGCTTTTTCAGCACATCCTGGAAGGACATGCGGCTCCGAGCGGGCTCCAGCTTGAGCTCCGACTGGGGTTGCTTCTCGCCACTCTCCTGCCCGGCTGCTGCCTCCTCCTCCTCTTCTTCCTCCCATTTGCGGTAGTCGTTGTTCCAGCGTGCCGGGTCATCCCCCACGACCGTGAAGTGCTTCAGGTACCTGGACATGGCTCCGGRTCAAGCTGGCACCGATGGCTGGAACACAAGAGCCGAATGTTATCCTGTGCAGAGGGCACCCAGAGCCCCCCGGGAAGGCGGCACGGCTGGCGCGTGACGGGCCCGGCTGACGGGAAGTTGCTCAACGGTGGGTTCTGCATCGGCTCCCACGCGGGTCCCCAGCACCTCGYGTAGGCGCTTCCTGCCCCGGAGCTGCTGCCGCCGCTTTCCCCAGCGTCCCACTCGCTGCATGGCGAGGAACTTGCCTGCGCAGTATTACCAAACACCTCAAACCGAGCCGTAACCACTGGGGAAACACCAGCCTTATCTCGGGGTGCAGGAAAGGAGGCAGACGATGTGCCAGGGAAAGAGACATCGTGTTTCTATGAGCTGTTTTCATGGCCAAAACCTGAAAGAGGGCACTTTTCCTCCCTTCCCTTTGTCCTCCCATTCAACAAGCCRAGTGAGACCACCCCAGGGTCAGGAGCTCCAGGATAGGCACCATGGAGGACAAGGCAGCCTCTGGCTGCAGCCCGAATGGGCCAGGGCTGCCAGCTCCTGGGCTCRGCACTGAAAAACACCCCATCAGAAGCCTCCGTGCACCCAGGCCCCTTTTATCCCCTCAAGGAGCCGCTTCCTCTTTTAGGCGCCCCCGTGGGGCAGCCCGTCCCGGTGTCCAGATGCAGTCCTGGCTGGGTGACCCCCAGCCCCACACCCTGGTCCCAAGCTGGCCCGGGCTCAGCGCAACCTGTTCTTGGCACCGAGGGGCTGCTCTTGGCCTGTCCATCCATCCTGCGGGCCGTCCTCCTTCCCTCTCTGGTCTGCGATGACCAGGAGGGCCTGGGACGGGACCGGCTGCGGCAGGAGCTGCTCGGCATTGCCCAGCGCGGCAGCGAGAGGTGCCAGGAGGCAAAGTGGRGTCCTGAGGCACCCACATCCGAGCAGGGAGTGCAGCCGGGCTCTGGGCTCGGTCCCCATGCAGGCGGCCTTGCACTCCCCATTTTGCCCCCCCAGCTGGGCCYGTCACGGCTCCGGAACAGAGCCAGGGCCGCTGGCGCCGGGAGCTGCAGCCCGGAGTGGCCCCAGCCGCCTCACTGCCAACGCGGGGAGGGACCGAGCGGCGGAAACGGCGCATCCGGCCCCGCCGAGTGCCTCCGGTCCGACCCGCGGGACCGAACCCGACCCCTCCGCTCCCAGCCCGGTGCCCCCCCGGCCCCGCTACCGTGTGTGTCCCAGCTGCGCTTGCTGCCTCCCCGGCCTGGCCCGGTCCGGTCCCGCCCCCGCAGCCTCCCCCGTGCCCGGGCCGCCCTCCCGCCTCCTCCCCGTGCTGGGTCCCGCGGCCCAGACAGCGAACGGGGCGTCCCGYCAAGGGACCGCGGGCCGGGCCCCAAAGCGCGGGGCCTGTAACACGTCCCCGGTTCTCAACTTACGCCCTGGGGAGGCTCCTCGTYGCACCTGGGCTCTCCGGTCCTTCAGCCACGAGCTTGCCTGGAAAGCGCGGCTACAAAAACCTCTGGAAACCTTCTCCCTTGCGCCTCTGTTGGGACAAACTGGAGTTATTTTTAATTCCCTCCRAAAGAAATATCTCACTCTACCTCTTCGTGCTTCTATTAAAACCTTTCCCTGGGTAAAAGGGATCAGCATCAGATCAGAAACTGCCTCCCCCTGCAGAAGGCAAAAGCAGCCACACACACTCCCAAACCACCAACCTGCAGAGCACAAGTGAGCGGGGAGGAGAGGCCTCACAGGCTTCTGCCTAGTGGAGGAAGGAAGGGTTTTATTTGGGGCGTTTCCAGCTATTTATGCTAGTTGGCCTCAGCTGCATTCAGAAAATACTAAGATGGAGCTGAGCTGGTTACCTGACAGGGAGCAGGTGTTTGTCTCAGCTGCTGGGGCTTTGCCGGGGCGATTACAAACACCAACYTGTCTCAGAACTGAAATAACTCAGYATRTCAGTGTGTTTCTCAAGAGCTCAGTGGGACTGCATTTTAGCCAGGTCCATAAGGAGCCTGGAAACCAGCAGAGCCCCYGTGTCCACTGTGGAGCTCCGGGCAGACGGGGCAGAGCAGCGGAGAGCTTTGGCCCAGCCCTGGATGTGAACACAGAACCTGAAGCACTGCAGGCTGCCCCACCACCGGCCTCAGCCTGGAGCCTCCTCTCGCAGGACTTCCCGCTGGCCACGTTCCTGCTATTTAAGCTCCACAAGTAAGCGTAGCCACCAGCGCTCCAGGGAATCGCCCACCCAGTGCCTGCCCTCCAGATCTATCAGCTGTACRGGATCTGCCTGGAGAAAACTCTGACAATGCTCTCCTCAAGCTCCTTGTCTGGGGGCATTTTCCTGACTAAACGAATGTGAAACAGCMGTTTTCCAAGATTTCCTACGGCTCTTGCTACGCATCCTTATTGCATGTGCAGCCTGTATCGTGTAACCGGTTGTTTTCTCAAGCAGCTTCCTCCAGGCAGTCACTCAAATGCATGCTGTGAACGCACGTACCATTTGCTGCACTATTTCTGCAGAATGCTGTTTCACACAACAGATCTGTAAATTCGCCCTGCCTTAGGGCGATCTGTTCTGCAGCAGGACACAGCTACGTGCCCGAGATGCAGAAAGTGACGTCCACGCGTGGGGCRGCAGGGCCGGGAGCACCACTCCACWCCGGGTGCTGCACCCACCTCGAAGCGGCTGCGGTGCCCCAGGGCTGGACACAGGCGTAGGTCTCCCCACTCCACGAGGGCTGTGCCGGCCCCAGCAGCTACAGACTGTAACGTGTCAGGGCGGCTACCACTGCTGGGTGCTGGGCACCTGTGTTCGGAGCTGAACGGGGATACAGAGCAGCCAGTGCAAGGCAGARATCAGACTGCATTGCATGAGAGTGGGATGACGCTTTCTAACACTGACATTCAAACCTCTCCTATTACTAGAAGCAAGTGGGGTAGTAACCCAGCTGCTTKGAAAGAGCAGTGAAGTGCCCGAGATGACAAGCAGGACGGGATGCTCCTGGAGGAAAACAAGCCTTGGGTCACGCTGCCTCGCGAGCAGCTCTGCTCTCACCTCTGCACGGGYGGCTGTGAGGCTTCCAAGGCTGAGCAGTGGTACAGCGCCTCCCACGCRCTCTTTTCTTGAATCAGATCTGCCTCTGCAACTAACATTGTTCAAGGTCAGGTCTAAAGTGCATAATAAATGTGTATACGCATCAAGGACTCAAGTCCCCACACCCATCTTCCTCTAGAGGCTGCCTCGGTACTGTTGTGGATTTGGTCCAGTTCACACTGCAGGCAAAAATAAGGTTTTGTTCTTGGTTTTGAAGCCCTCAGCTTCCCTCAACAGCCTGGCCTGAAAAGCACAGCAGCTCTGACAAACTTTGAAGAGAAGCAGAAACCACTGAAGGTGTCATGTAATAAGAAACAGTAGAGTGGAATGGTCAACAAGACTCAGTTCCTCTGCTTATAGAAACTTCCCATTATCTAGAATATCATCCCTATCAATAGTGTTACTAGTTAACACTCTCTTACAGGTAATGTGCTTGAGGATGTGTGGCATCCTGCAAAACTTACAGGAAAACTTGCATTTATTACAACTTTCCTGCTGCTTTTGTGGTGACTTTCAAGACGTCAGCGYCCCTCCCTACTGCAGTTTGCAAAGCAGAGGGATGCTCATGATAGAGCCCGTGTTTGCTGCCAGTTACTGCTTGAAGTGTCCTACAGCTACACCCATGGGCATGAGGAACAGCACTCATAGAGCTACCTGCTTTACTCCCCTCTTACATTACTGAAATCCTGATAGGCAACTGCTCACAAAGATAAAGCAGGAACACGTCACATGGAGCAGGACCTCAGTAAATATTTACACACTATTAATTTGTTGGGTAAACTAGGGCTCCATTCAAGTCTCATTATTAAAACAATAGGAAAGGGCTGCAGCTGCTCTCCCTCTGCTGATYAAAAAGCAACCTAATTGCTGTTCCTAGCAATGAGCATAAAACATCCTCTACCTGTACCCATCTGTTCTTAACCTGCAAGAGGCTCAGCTGTCGTGCCTGCTTTTGACATCTCCGCTCTTGTGCTGGACTTCCCTGCTGCACTGGTCATCTGAACTGCCATACTGGAGCACTGGACACAGCCCTTCCAGGGTGCACGGCCCTGAAACAGTCACAGGGAGGAGACAAGGCTGAAGGAAAAAGCTTTGACAGGGTGACACTTTAAGGGGTTGCTGAGCTACTGCTGGAGAGGCGAACACCTTCGTCCAGCTGCAGCTAGATCAGTAAGAGAAGCAGGTGGCCACATCACAGAAAGTGTAAGGCTATAAGCCTCCCTAAGCAGTCCTGTCACCRAAACAGCATTTGTGTCTAGGTCAAGACAATCAACACTTCCACAGTGCACATTCTACCCACTGCCTTTCCTTGTGCTCTAACCTAGTTTAGGCAAAACTTTTGCTGAAGTGATGGACAACAACTGTAAAGCCTGGGAAGCTGGAAGCATATATACAGTGCTCATTAAGTTTAGACAAGACCGAACCAAAAATCTGTGGGTTTCTAGAACAATTTATTTATCTAAGTTGGGTGTTCTGAGAGGAGCAGTGTATATGTGGTGATAAACTGACACTGAGAAGATTTAACAATTTCTTCATTTAATAAGTGATATCTACTACATGGTATTGTACACTGTTATCTGTTCAAAAAAGATTAACAGTTTTAAAAAAACACGATACTGTGAGAGATTTGTATAAACTGGTGATCAAGATCAACTCCTCTGGCTGGGTTGGCTTATCACACCGGTTCCTCTGCTTCTTTGTAAAACAAAGTCTTTAGGCTAAAATGCACAAAATCACTCAGGCAGACCTAGAACCCTTTCCATAACTTCCAGCTTTCTGAAACTGGCTGTCATAGGACTGATGCAATTGTAGAAAAGTCCCTTCATATTGGAAATTGTACAAAAAAGTATTCACTTTTACCATTAATAGAACAAACAGCACAGTATTTCTACTTGCTATTTCAAGCCAAGACTTCCTGATATCTCCAAGAGGAAGGCATAAACAAAAAGCCCTGCCAACATATCGTGATGGGTCATGTATATACAGTTTTCTAAGCAAACTTTGGCTTCAGGAAAGAGACACAAACACTTAAAATAATGGCTTTAATCGTCATTCAAAGTATACGGAGGGACGTGTTTTAATTAAATATACATCATACCAGTGATGCTGGCAAGGTTGTTATTCCTAATGTTGACAGCAATAAAACTAACGTGTACATGACAAGACATTAAAATAAAAGCAATCCCTTTAAAACAAGTTTTAACGTAAAAAAAAGTTCACAGTGGTTTGTATAAACAGTATGCAAGTTCTGACAGTAACAAATTTCTACTCTCACAGCACACTAGTGCCCTCTTTAGATCCTAAAGAAGAAAACAAGCATTTACACTACTCATTGTACAGATTCAGAGTCAGTTGTACAGTTACCCATAATGGCAGGATAAGATGCTGTGGAGTGTACAGCTGTAACACCAACGAAAGGAAAGCTTTAAAACTCTTTTCCTGGGAGGGAGAAAAGTCTTTCATTTGCTGTTACAACCAGCAAATGCCATTCATCAAATCAAAAGGAAAACCACAAACACATTATCTAGTTTGAGCAAGCCGAACAGTACACATTACAGTTTTAAAAATGGAGGTTATATACTATATTACAAGTCCCAACAAGGCAGTGCCAAATTCACTATTTCTTTGCTTGTTTTGTGATCATACCCCTGGGAGGTGTTACAGGTCTGCTAGCGTTGGGCTTCTTTTTCTCTGCAGGTTTCAAAATCTGCAAAGAAAGTTCAGTCATTTAGAAAAAGCTTTTACACCAAATCACACAATTCATATTTTAGTAAAAGCCAATRTACATGACAAGTCAAACTAGCCAAAAAAACAAACAGCTTTCCTACTCAGCTCTGACAGGATCCAGAGCAGCTAATCTGAGATCTTCTGCCAGTGGAAGCACAATGGAACAGCAAGTGCTTTACTTGCATGATTTATTCCAGCTCAAACAGTTCATCTACTCATCTCAGCTGAGACTGAATAGATATTTAAATATACCTGGAGAGAAAGTTTTGCACTATCCACATTTTTGCTTTTGTTAGGGTAGTCAGCCTTTAAATCTGCTGTTATCAACTTACGCTCTACTGGTACAAAAACCATAGTCACTTCAAATAGATCTTTACAGACRGAAAATGTTAGACTACAACAAAGAACTAAATATCTTAAGATAYTAGTACCTGAAAGGAGCACATTAGAGTTTCATCCACACTCATCATGGCACCTGCATTATCAAATTCTCCACAGTAATTTGGGGCAGAAAACAGAGTTACCAATTGCCTTTTTGCAAAAAACTCATATCCGTCTTCAACAACCTTTACAACAGAAAAAAGCAAAAGTATTAGACTAGATAACTCCTTGCTACAATAAGCAGAGCAACAAGTGATACACACACACCCAAGTCAGAATTCCCAGCTCAGAAATGATYAGTTACAGCATCACTAGAAGATCCAACAATTGAAAGGCTGTCTAGGTCTAAGCAGATGTTCTAARCTTTTATATTAATCAGGAAGAACAGGATTCAGGTCAGTGCACAATCCATTAGTGGGGGAGAACAAAAGGATTCTGCTAGTTTGAGATAACCTTTTTCAAGGGTGGCAATCACAGCTTTTATTTACTAGAATAAAATCATAACAAGGGTTACTAAACACTGGAAAAAAATTGCCCAGAAAAGCA